TATGATAGGGAGACAATTTGGTTTTTCTATCAGTTAAAAATAAGACACTGTTTGCCTTGGAGTGCTATAGGGAGAGTGGGGTTTGCTGTTCTTTAAGTGGATACATGAATCTTACGCTCGAAATCATCACCTACAATTAATAGCAATAGCATTAGACTTATATACTGCTTCATAGTGCTTTATAGCCCTTTCTAAGCAGTTTACAGAGTTAGCATATTGCCTCCAACAATCTATGTCCTCATTTTACTGACATCAGAAGGATGGAAGTCTGAGTCAACCTTGAGCTGGTCAGAATCAAAGTCCTTGCAGTGAACAGTGAGTTAGCCTGCAATACTGCATTCTACCAATGTGCCACCATGGCTCCTGGCGTTAATATGCCGATTTACTCAACAGAAAGAAACCCTGAAGCTTAAAAGAAATCAACCAAAAGAAAAAGAAGACTGAAAAAAAATATAAAGTCAAACATTTTCTGAAACCAATCCTTAAGATTCCCTCCCCTCAAGAGAGAAAGAGAGAGAGAGAGAGAGAGAGAGAGAGAGAGAGAGAGAGAGATGTACACGTGTGAGCATAGATATGCACGTGTGCACACACACAAACTCTCTCTCTGCTGGTTGGTTGAGTGAGAGATAAAAGCCAGCCCATACATCCATGCTCTTGGTTTTTAACCTTTATTTAATATTAATGTTATTTATTTATCTTAATATTAATTTTAATGCTTTTAATGTTTTTGTATTTATAATTTTATGCCATTGTAAGCCACCCAGAGTTACTTTGGACAGTGAGGTGAGCAACATGTAAGATAAATAGATATATCAAACATAAATATCTGTTGATACTTGTCACTGTCCAGAAACTATATTTCAAAATAGGATAGGAAAAAATCAAAATAACAAAATAACTGAATTCATAACTATGGAGCACATTTGTTGCCTGTAAAGTAAGGCATTCTATTTATAAAATTAATTAATGCAATTATAAGGAAGAGGAGAGAAGGGGGTCAACCCTGCCCATTTGTTAACATAAATAAGCAGACCAAAGATTAAAGCTGTAACTGGAATCAAACATCTGAGCAAGATCTTATGATTGCCAGTTATTTTGACTTTTTGACACCTTCCCCCTGACTGTGAATGTCCTGGCCTTTAATTTATATGCAAATTGCAGTACTTGACACCTGTCCTTTTTAAAACCAAGCCTTGTTGCACTTGTCAGAAGATGGTGTTTGAGTTCAGGACTGGTAGCTTCCCTGGCACCTGGAGTCTTTCTATAAATAAGTTCAGTGCAATGTAATTTTCCCCTTTTAATATAGGATTGTTTTAAAAAAAATATTTGATATTACTAGATTAACCAATTCCAAAACTGTTTAACTTTTTTCCAACCTTAATTGAGGTTGCTGTATTTTATAATTCTTGTTATGGCATAATTTTTTTGTATAGTAGTGTAGGCCAGTTTTTCTCCACCTTGGCAGTTTGAAGATGTGTGGACTTCAACTCCCAGAATTCCTCAGCCAGCATAGCTTGAAGATGACATCCACACTTTTTCAAACTGCTAAGGTGGAGAAACACTGGTGTAGGCCTAACATCAGGCCTAATAATGTACAGGTAGTTCTCGATTTACAACAGTTTGTTTAGTGGCTTTTCAAAGTTGGAATGGCATTGAAAAAAGTGACTTATGATTGTTTTTCATACTTATGTTCATTGCAGCATCCCCATAGTCATGTGATTAAAATTCAGATGGTTTGGCAACTGGTTCATATTTATGACAGTTGCAGTGTCCCGGCATTATGTGATCAGTTTTTGCAAACTTCTGATAAGCAAAGTCAATGGGGAAGCCAGATTCACAATGGATTAATTACCAAACTGTTATGTAGGAAGTTTTAAAATGGAAATGTAGCACTTGTTCAAATGGCCACTTAAACTTGCCTCTTATGGGACAATCCATTTAAAGCTAATTGTGTATAAAAATATAATCACATGGCATTTTATTCTACTCTATAATTTCTTCATTTGTTTCTTTCCAAATCAATGTACATGTACATATTCCCAGTCATGTTTTACTTTCAAAGAGTCTGAATGGTATACAGAATGACAGCAAAAGACCCTGTAATATAAAGTCTTTAGCTATACAACAGTAAAAAAAAGTATTTTAACAAATGCCAGTGATCAAAAACTGAATCTTGTAATGTTTTGTTCTTGGGATTATTGATGAGCGTTGCTGTCTAAAATAGTGACTGTTCATTTAATGACTGTTCAAAGTTACAACAGCACTGAAAACAAATGACCATTTTTCACACTTAAAACTGCTGCAACATCCCTGTGGTCACAAGATCAAAATTTGGACGCTTGGCAACTGAACTTATATTTATGACAGTCGCAGTGTCCCGGGGTCATGTAGTCACCTTTTGCTACCTTCTGATAAGCAAAGTCAATGGGAAAGCCAGATTCATTTATCAACTCTGTTACTAATTTAACAACTGCAGGGATTCACTCAATAACTGTAGCAAGAAAAGTCATAAAATGCAGAAAAAATCACATAACAAATATCTTGCTTAGCAACAGAAATTTTGGTCTCAATTGTAGTCATAGTTTGAGGACTACCTGGACCAGTTGTTATTAGACTACAAATCCAATCATCCCAACTACTGGCCAGACTGTAGCAGAACCTATACGCTTTAGAATGTAACAACTGTACTAAGGCCAGAGAGTCACACCTCTGCCTTAAAACCAAGCTGAAGTTTGGCTCTTTAAAGCAGGGGTCCCCAGCCCCCGGTCTGTGGACCAGCACTGGGCTGTAGTGTGCCAGAAACTGGGCCAGACAAACAAATGAAGCCCCATCTGCGGGGTGCAGGCAGCACATGAAATCACGCCCCTTCCGGTCTGTGAAAAAACCTTTCTTCACAGAACCGGTCCCTGTTGTCCCGAAGGTTGGGGGTCACTGCTTTAAAGAAACGTTGGGCTGAAAATGGGTGAATGCTTCACCTACGGATATTATCATGGCATTCAATTCAACAGTCCAAGATCTTGGCATTTTCCCTGATAAAGTTCTACATCCATGATTTGTGGATTTCTCATTGCAGGTTTTGCATACCTTTAAAAATGGGTGATTGCTTCGAAGGCCCATGTCCTTCGGGGGGCCCATCTGCAGCAGGGGAATTGGCAGGAGGGAGCAGCGTGTGCACTAAGGAGATGACCTTGGAGCAAAAACAACAGGTACAACTTCAGAATTCTCCAAAGTGTTTATAACTTGCAGAAAATGTTTTATAATTCACATTTAAAGATAAAAAATTAGGTCTTGCTTTTGATTCATAGGTTATCCTTTTCTGTTATGAATCTCTGGACATTTTTTTCCTGGAATTTGGTATTGATATAAATATACTTCCTAGTATATAGTTGAATAGTTGTGGGGCATTGGCTACATATTTTCATACAAAGTGCTTCCATTGCTCAGCCCACAAATAATTTACCCATATTCTTAGAGATAATGTTTGTTCATTTAGATAAGATTGCACCAGAACATATGCTTCATTTCAGACTTCCTTAGTGTGTGCATCCATTGTGGTGTTCAGATCATTCTGCAATTATTGGCGCAAGAAAACAAAGAGAGTGTCCAAATGTTCACAAGCTGGGCTGAGGCTGTGATGTATAAATCTCTTCTGATGCTAACCTTTTAGCTCCATTTATATAGCCTACAATACTGAGTCACTAAGCGAGAGTTGCAGAATTTAAGTCTGACCAAAGCCTGTTATCTACATCTCCTTTCTGGTGGTCAAGATCCTTTCCTATTTTTTTATCTCTTAACATACCCACGGCTCACAAAAGGTCTAAAATAAAAGTCAGAAAAATAGAGACCATCCTAGCTCCTAGCTCATGCAGTTAGAAAAATAAAAGCAACAGAAAATATTGTTTGGGGATGGTAATGCAAACATGAACCATTCAAAATTGCAATCTCCTTATTTATCCTTAGCTTTTGCTCCAGTGTCTTCAGCTGCAGTACCACAAAAGAATTTTTCTGCAGCTACTACTAATTTCAGATGGTATTGCAAAAGCAGCCTTTTGCTGTAGATTTGTCATGTTGATGTGAGATAAGTTAATACAATTCTTCTCTCTGCATACACCTTGATTCAGTGCCATTCATGGAATGACATAAATTTCTTTTAGGCCTTCTGGTCTATTGCCTGACTATAGTGCAAGACAAAGACAAACAGTTTTTCTTTTTCTTTTGTCCTTTCCCCCGCCAAGGGTGTCTTAGAATGACCCGAATTATCTCATTCTTATCTTGTTCTCCATTCAAGGCCCATGTAATTATTCATAAAGCGAGGGTGCCATTTCCTGAACACTGTGTAGCTTTAATTTATAGGAGTATTTTGCAACTGAAGAGCTTTGAGTAGGAAGCTACTTTTTGCACCATTCCAAGTGTGCTGCAAATAAAAAGAATAAAGAAAGAAAGTAGCTTCTGGATACCTGATCTGGAGCTTTTGTGGCTGTTCCTGTTCAGGCTATTTTAGCATTAGTTTTTCTTTCCCCTGGTGTTTAGTATTATTTTCTGCTTTCTCTTTACTAGCTTTTCCCCTGCAGGCAAAATCTAGTTGGGCAGCACTTTATACTGGTGCAGCATAAAACCACTTGAGCAAATAACAGGACAAAATAGAAATCCCAAGCTAGATAGATAGAAAGGCAGACAGACAAATAGATAGACAGGTAGATCGATATTGGTAGGTGCCCAATCAATTCCCAGAGAACCCAAGTCACAGGCACCTTTGGTCAACAGTACTTATTGATATTTTTGTATATGCAAGGAATAGCCTGGGTACCACATATACCAGTGGTGGCGAACCTATGGCATGGGTGCCAGAGGCGGCACTCAGAGCCTTCTCTGTGGGCACACGCGCCTTCGCCCCAGTCCTAGGCCTTCAGCTGGGTTTTATAAAACCTTTTCGCTTTAGGCCTCCGCCGCCATGTGCAAAAAAAATATATGTTCAAACAATCAGTCAATTTCAACTTCTTGAGGGAAAAAAAAGATCTTGCAAAGTTGGAATTGATTGAACTTTTTAGTCCCACCCAGTCTGCCGTTACCACCGCAGCCACGCCCACCCAATGGGCCACACCCACCCAATGGGCCACACCCACCCAGCACCCGATGATGCATAAGTGGGTTTTGGGTTGCAGTTTGGGCACTTGGTCTCTAAAAGGTTCGCCATCATTGACATTTACCATCTTATCACATATACCATCTTATCACCATGCACTTTCTCCTGTGCCAGGGATAGGCAACCTTGGCTTTTTTATGATTCGTGGACTTCAGCTCCCAGAATTCCTGAGCCAGCCATGCTGAGGGGAAAGGGAGAGGTTTCCAAGCTGAGCCATGCTGGCTCAGGAATTCTGGGAGTTGAAGTCCACGAGTCATAAAAGAGCCAAGGTTGCCTACCCCTGTCCTATGCCATGGCCACTTCCAAAATCTGATTAAAGCAATGTTTATCAACCTTGGCAACTAAGATATGTGGTTGAGAAACACTGGGTTACAGCATTCTATGGAATCCCATCTATTACTGCTCTTACTTTAGCACCTGTTAGCTCCTGATATGCTTATGATGACCATCTAAATATTCTATTGCTCCTGAGTCTTTCATTCATTTCTCTAAAACCACTGACAAACAATGATAAATCTTAAGATAGAACTTATTTTCCCAAAAAATATCATCCAATGCCCCCGCATCTCTATCCAGTGCCTCCTATTTACAAAGCTGGACAGAACAGGATTGCTGTTTACCCGGCACCTGCACAATTTCCTTGAAACAGCCATAATATCCCTGTAAGTTTGATTTAAGATGACTGGATCTGTAAGAGCTGTAACTTCTAAAGCAGGTTCTCTTGCAAATCGAATAATTAGTAAAATGCATCAATATATTTATACTCCAAATGAACATGGTCTGAGAAAAACATAGTAAGGTGTAGTATGCACACTTACCCAGTTCCACTATTTAACACAGACAAATTGCCTCTATTTTTCTGAGCTATCCCACCAAATGTTGAATAAATGCCCTATTTACTTATGGGTTGCAAGATCCCTCTATCCAAAGATTTATTAACAGCGTAGGCAGCATGACAAGATAACTAGGATCAAAATATCCATCCTAGAAAAGCTATGCCTACGCTTACAAGCTGTGTTTGTCTGCTAATAGAGAATTAGCACAAACAGATTAACTAATTCTACTTTATTGTAAAGGTACATTAACAGAATCTTGCAAGTCTGCTAATATAAATCTCCCGCCATCTCTTTTATAGCCTGAGAGATTAAGGAGATTTCTTTCTGAGTTTCTTTCTCTAGCCATTATGCAGCTTCAGGCTATGTCCTCTCTTATCTGATTATTTCCTAGGCAGCATCTCTTCACCCCTTCTCCCAAGGTCATTCCCACATACTGCTATAATTATGGATTAGCACACTATGTGAACTACTACCTGTGAAGTTTCTGAAATGTCTATCTTATATAAATTCCAAGGACAAGGCATTCAGCCCTTACCTGGTAGGTAGAATAATAATTTCTCTAGTCAGACTTCATTTTTACCAAGAGACAATAAGCACTCTGAGTTTGAGTAATGCTATATATTAGACAATACATGAGCATAGAAAGACTTCGGCTGGAACGCTTTGAGGTTTATTGCTTCAATCATACAATGCTGGGTGCATAAATTGCCTGAGGCAAGCTTCATTTTATTTCTGGTTTATTTTTGAAGTCTCAAACACGTACAAGTAAATGTTTTCTAAGACCTGAATAACTGTGATGCAGGTTGATCTCCCATGTGCTGTATAAACTTGCTCAGATATGGAGCCTTTCTCCAAGATAGCAAATGTTTAGCTGCAGCAGGACAATTGGACATGCCAGATAGAGAAGTAAGGCTCCTTTGCTGTGGTTTTTGCCTTCTGGAACAAAATCCTCACTGAGGTTTGTACCGCCTCCATCCTGACATTTAAATGAATCAGTAATATCTGGTTCTTCCCACAGGGCTTGGGCTAGAGTGGATGGTAGATCTCTTGTTGCTGAACAAAGTATAATTTTTGATGCTAAGAAAGAGTAATTTTATGAGAGCAATGGTCAGAGGCAGAAATATCTTTTGGCAATTTAGAATTGATCCACTATAAATTATGCTTGGTTTACCTCCGATGTATTCAGCATTTTTCCTTTTGTTCTGTGAATAATTATAATGTGATGTTTTGGAGAATCTTTAGATTATATATCAGGAAGTATCATGAAATCTCATAAAGTATCATGAGTGTGTCAGTATGTTCTATGTAGCTCAATTGGTGGGATGCTGATAACACTATGCTGGTTGCAAATTATTCTCTGAATTAGAAATCTTACCTTGCATATGATAATGTGAGCATACTTGGTATAAAAATGGGCTTTGATTGTTCCTGCATGTGTCAAAACTGCCCAGTATAGGATCAGTTCCACTAAGAGTGGTAATGTGCTCTATATATCACTAATAAATGTTATATAAAAGTCCTGATGGATCAGTTCCAGGATGGGGCATGGAAGTCCAAAACTATAGGCCCATCTGATAATGAGCATAGATTATAAAACATTGTGATTTGGAGTGTCAGAGGAATAAATGGTAAATAGAAAAGTGAGTGAAAGAAGTATGCTGAAGTAGTTTCACACAGATAGAACAAAGGAACATTAAATAAAACAAAAAACAAAATCTGGAGAAAGAATGAATGAAAAGGAAAGGGAAAGACTGAGGAAATCATGGATGGGGTTGATGAGATCTTCAAAAACAGAGAAATTAAGAGCAAAAGGCAGTATATGAAATGGTATATGAACACGATGGTAGCAAACATGATTTGCAAGGATAGAAAAGTATTGAGTGGCGTGAATGATACTGAAATAAATTACATTTAGCGATGTTTCTTTTTTTTAAAAAGCATGCCTTTCTTTTTTCAGTTTACTGTTTCTTACTTTTCTGCACTCTGCATAATGCTTCTCATTGCATAAAGAGAAGAGCATGATGAAAATTATTGTTGATATAGATATACATAATATAAAAATATTGCCTACACTGAATAGTAGTGAATCATTAGGATTTGAAACAGATATGTTTCTTAGTCATAGGTAGCCAGGTGTTGATTTTGAGACCCTTTGCACGACAAAGCTAAAAGCCTAACCATTTCTAAGGGACATATTAATTGTAAAATATAATTACCTCATCCCGTTTGCTGCAGGAGCAGCCTAACATTGCTTTTGGTTGTTCTGCTGTCGAAGTGGTGCAACTCAATTCTTGTAGTAAAGACCATCTACCATGCCTCAGAGCTGAGCCTGGCAACTAAATGGTCATGGGTAGAGCTCTGTCCAGCTGCTGAAGTCTGCTGTGAACTTGTCTTCTTTTTAGCCTGTCATTGGATGTTGATCCCTATGGTCACTCAGGCTTGGCTTCAACAAAGACCAGACATCTGCTCTACAAAGCCTTTTATTTGGTCTGTTTTTTTGACCCAGAAATAATCCATCTCCCAGAAGACATTTGGACTTTTTGAAGAACATAGGCAGGACATTGATAGTCCTATAGGAAATAAATAAATACAGTACTTTCAAAATCTGGCTGACTGGCCAATAGGAGAGAATGTCCACAGTCTTTAGCCCTACCTTGCCATACATTGCTGAGAACAATTGGAGGTGGTGTTTTTATTGATAGGGATGAAAATGAAGCTGGTGAACCCATCAGTCATTATCTTGAATTTGTAAGGACAGCAACACTCCCTACCTTGCTACTGAGTCACAGTAAGCATGACTATGGAGGCCACACAACTTAAATCAACCCTTCCCCTTTGTTTTCTTCTTCCCCTGTCACCCAAGGGTTACGAAGTGAAATGGGAAAATGTATTGTTTGTGAAATATGAGGTGTGTTTGGCACTGTTGAGGAATTTTGCCAAAGTAACGAATACAACACTGAGAAAAACCATGGTTATTGCAATGATCATTGGATGCATGTTGTAGGAAAAAAAGGATCCCCGACCAATGGAAAAGCAAAGCTTTTTTAAAATAGAAGTTGAGGGCTACAAGGCAGGAAATCCTAGGGATCTGAATGGCTGGTCAGCTGTGGAAAATTGGGCAGGTTTTGTCCCCATTCCTGTGGTGAATTCTATTGTCAGGCAGAGCGGGGCTTTTAGGAATGCAGTAGAGCTGGAGAAGTTCATTGTGAAAGAGATGGAATGTTGAGGTCATCAGCTGATAAGAAGATAGGAGGTTAGGGTTTTTCTAGGTCACAAATTCCTGTTGCTCTTGTGCTATATTGTGATTGGGTGAGGATGCTTCTATTCTTTGGTCTAGCTAGAAGAGGGGGGAATTTGCCAAGGGCAGGGGGAGTCAATTCAGCTCTGATGAGATTAGGCAAAGAGAGGAACTGGGTTTTACCTAGATCATATCTAAAAGACAAGGTGGGGTGGGGGTGCAGGTGGGGGGATGTCTTCATTTTGTTTGTTAGGTTCATTTTTTTCCACTACAGGCACAGTAGGAGAGTCCTGCTAATCAGTGGCAGAACCAGAGAGGAACATGTTGTAGCAACCTCAGCTAGCTATTAGAATCCCTAACCTTACTTCAGTATGATGTAATTCAGATGGACTAAATAGATAGCTTATGCTGAAAATGCTATTTTACAAATGAAATAATAAGAGTTGAGTTCTTTCTGCCTTTTTAGCAGATCAGGTAAATTGAATCCAATGTAAATTGTCCATTCCTCTAAATTCATCTGATGAAGTATCTGCAATCCATGGTGAATAGATTATCTAGAATCCAAAAGTAGATATTCTGCTTTGAGCTAGACAGGAGATAAATAATGATGGTTTCACCAAGTTTGATTCACTAATAGATCACATATAATTCAAAATTACAGACGGGCTACAATGTTATATTTTTTATCTTTAAGCAGCATTAATTAAAAGGGAATTTGAGTTTATGTTTTAACAGAAATTACTGTGAAAAAGAATGCTGATTTGCAATTTAATTGTTGGTTTTTTTAAAGCTTCTGTTTTCATTTAATGCTGAATTCATAAACGTAATTGTGAACATGTTATCTCTGTAACCACTAGCATGTTTGTTCACAGCAACAAATTGAACGACAGCTAAAATGCTTGGCATTTCAAAATCCAGGACCTCTGCTGGCAGATTTCAACCCAGAAACTCGGGAACAACAAAAGAAAGTCTGTATGTCAATGATAAACCAGGATTGTTTTAATACTACAAAGAAGTAAGATGATGTATCCATATTCTTCCTATATTTTAAATTAGCTTTGGAAATAGAAATTTGCAGGGTTGTTTAATTACCATCAGATGCTTAAAGCTCCAGACTAATGCATGTCTTCTTGAAAGTTCTACTGCAGTTAGCGGTATACAATCTATCCATAATTACCATGATTGCTACAATTATGACTATTATGAGATTCTCTTATTTAAGCATTTAAGACAGAATAAATCTGCTCAGTATTAAATTATAGGTCATTTGGTAGATTAAGGGTGTAAAACTGATTTAGAGCTGAAGGCTGCATTTGGTCATAGAGAGGAGTAGTATGTACCATACTACAAGTGGGTGGAGCCAAGACAAATACAAATATTGTTTTAAATTTAGTGTATTATGTATACGGATACACATACGCATGCACACACATGCGTGCACATACACACAGAGAGAGAATATTACAATGAAATACAATTAACATTAATGGTATGCAAAGTTTTCTGGATTTCAAAAAAATTTCAAATTGTTTTATATTCAGAATCTCTCTTCTAAATTCTGAAGATATTTTTTTTCTTCATAGGAAAATTTAAGGAACAAGAGTAAATTAGGAGTGTTATTGTGGAATGCTGCATATAGTTTTTGTTCTTGTCCTTATGCATTTTATTTAACGTTTCTAAGAAACCACAGAAAAAACATTCAGCAATGTAGAAGTGAACTTCAGTATGCCGATTGATGGTTCTATGTAGTTTTGCATCTAAATGGGAATCTTAAAAGGTTTTGAACCAATTCTGGAACCCTAATAAGTGAAATTGTGATCATTCAATATTTATGTGAAGCCGCTGGGAGAGATCATTCGTGGCTTTGGGGTGGATTTCCATCAGTACGCTGACGATACTCAGCTGTACATTTCCACCCCAGGCCACCCCAACAATGCCCTTGACGTGATGGCCCGCTGCCTGGAGGCCGTAAGGGTCTGGATGGGGAGGAACAGACTCAGGCTCAACCCTTCCAAGACCGAGTGGCTGTGGCTGCCGGCGCCTCGGCATAGTCAGCTGACTCCATCGCTGACTATAGGGGGCGAAATTTTGGCCCCCTCGGAGAGGGTACGCAATCTGGGGGTCCTCCTGGA